TCTCTGAACTCGTAAAGTTCTTCTTTTTACTTTGGGATGTCATTTATGAATGAACACTTCCTGGTATGTGGGCCAGGAAACATATAGTGTAAAGGTTATATGGTGTTTTTAAGGGTGGTAAGTATGCTAATCACATCTCCTCGTGCACGTGCACCTGATACACATTCATCAGGTTACACAGCTCATTTACGCACTTTTCCTGAAGATAGAAGAGTTTGTTGAATCTGACGTGACATGTTCATATGAACAAAAGTAAGAGAAATTTAGGATAAGAATACTAACATGTTCTTGCATGAGGCCCATTGTTACTACAAAAAATTAGTCTATCAAACATTAATTTCCTTACTTCTTGTGCAAAGTTTAGATGAAGCTTTTAAAATTAAAACTCATCATCCCGTAATCATGAAACCAGCAGGACGTTTCAGCTCCCTGCCTGGAAATTCTGAAATTTGTCACATATCTTCTGTAAAACCAAAATTGTAAACTTTTAAAGATTTTGTTGGTGGATTTTTGGTAAAACTGAGGCCGCACACAAAGTGCTGGTTTGTGTTAACCTAATCACAGCAATCCTCGCTCTGAGCACTTAGCGTATCTGTGTGACTAAGTAAAACATGTGGTCAGGATTAAACACAAGGGTGTTCCGGTCCACATCAACCACAGGTGGGTTAGATACCAGCAGCCAGATGTACGCACACATTCTCACACACGTGCTGTCAGGAAACCACACACATACCTCAGATTCTTTTGTGACATGTTAACCTGGCACTTCCTAATATAGGCATTTTATTCCTTCTCTGCTGTCATGTGCAAGAAACCGCGAGTTGGCATGTAAAATGCAGCTGAGCCTGACGAGAGGAAATTAGAGCTGCAAACACATGTACCCACACATTTGTACAAACACAGTATCTTATTCTGTTTTGATTATTCTGAACCTTATCTGTTATTTCCTGCAGGGGAAGTTCATCAGAATCAACTTTGACGTCACAGGATACATTGTTGGGGCCAACATTGAAACATGTATCCTCATTTATTAGAACAAAACGAAGAGCAGAAACATGAATCGATGTAAAAACCAAGAATGGCTAAATGAGGCTCATTTCCCATGAGAAAAATAACTTGAAAAATATCTTGATAAAATGTTTCTTTGTTGTGATAAAGTTTTTAACATCTTAAATTTGATCCTCTGTGTGCTTTTTAACAATAGAGTTGCTATTTTATTTTGCCTGACTACTTTTCATAAACAACATTGAAGCACTTGATGCCATTCTTTATGGTTTTTATATKTAAAATAAAAAAAATCTATGTTTGTTGTTTTTTCCTACCAGTCCTTAACCTTTCCTGTCAGATCTCCTGGAGAAGTCGAGGGCCATTCGACAGGCAAAAGATGAGAGGACTTTTCACATTTTCTACCGCCTGCTGGCAGGAGCTGGAGAGCATCTTCGGAGTGAGTGTCTTTCTGGATATTACTGGAAAAAAAGGACAGGCAGAAAGAATTAAAAAAAAAATATCAAAGCAATACCAGCACACTTTCATTTGGGTAATAATGTGCTGAAGGCAAAGGGCCGAGCTTATGAACTGGTTTAGATTAAAACCAGTGCAAAACAATCTGTTCAGTTTGTTTTTGATTTAGCTCATCTGAACATTATTTCAAAATGCTGCAGAACTATTGAGCCCCAAATGTTAATGGGAATGAGTGCATCCTAAAGGTCTGTGAAAAGAGAGAAAAGTCTGCYGATAGTCAGTTTGCAGAATTGGAAAGTAATCTCTGTTTGAACCATCTGGTGCCTCATGTATAAATAATGCGTACGCACAAAAAGCTTGCATATGCCCTTTTCCACGCAAAGCTCCAGATGCATCAAGACTGAAATGAATGTGGAAATGTGCACAGCGCCACGCCAACTCCAAGGCTGGCCTACGCACGTTTCTGTGGTTCTGGTTCCACTGGCGACACTTTTTCTGATCGCGCAGGGATCACACACAACGTCCATCACACACGCAAGAAAAAATTTGCCTCTAGGCGTGTCAGGTGAGGAGTCTCATGTGCTCTCAGGTCCACATTGATCGGGATGTACAAAAGAAATGTGAGTGAATTCCAGTGTACGCACGGTTTCATACATCTGGATTTATTTGTACGCCGTTTTCTTGATTGACCGTACGTTTTGTTTCAATAAGAAATCCACTCAGTAAGACCCCTGGTCTCCATGGTAACCGGTGATAACCTCATCACCAGGTCTAAAGTGGTTTTTGACACATTATGCAWTGACAGACTTTTCTCTGTTCTTGTGTGTTTTTTCATACACACACAAAACAAAGTTAGGAATGAAAGTTTGTGTGTAAATATGATCAAATAAATTATATGCTGTTTTGCATGCGTGTGCACACAAACAGCTCTCTACATGACGTATGCGGGGCACAGAGAACTTGTCTCAGTGAAATAAATTAAAATGAAACAAAAATGAGCGCTAGTTATCCATTTTTTCCATTTTTGTTTTGTGCACAAAATCAGAAATCGAATATCTGTTGGTTATCCAAAATTTAATTTTGATCCAGTAAACAGAAAAACTGATGTTATTTTGTTTGTTAAATATTTTGTTTCAAAGCAACTGCCTGAATGTACTCTGACCAGGGTCACCTGAGTCCTCCATCACTTCGTTTATTTTCAGATCTTGACAAACTGGTCAAACAAACACAAAGTGTCTCACTGAACTCTTGATTTACTGCCTGTTTTGTTTTTTCCCCTTCATATTTGCCCATCATTTGCATCTACATTTGCTTTTTTCTTCTAAGTGCATGAAAAATGCTCATTTAAATGACATAAAAAGGTGAGTAAACACTGTTTAATCAGCGTTGCATTTTGAGGTGCACCTCTCTATTTGCAAGAACTTTGTAAATAAAACACATTCCCATATATCTGTTTTGCTCCTTATTGTCTCCTGTGCAGAATCAATGTCTTAAGATTTTTTAACAATCAAAATGTGAAAATTACATTGAAGTTGTTAAAATTGTATTATCTGGACAAAATAAGTATAATCATACTAGAACACTTTACAAACATACTGAAATAATTCAAACGTGTAACAAAGAACTTGTTGAAGGAAAATCTATTAAATAATTCTTAGAAAGAAAATATATTGAAAGCACTTGCTTCTCTTTATAGCGGACCTGCTTCTGGAAGGCTTTAACAACTACCGCTTCTTGTCAAACGGTAACATTCCCATCCCGGGTCAACAAGACAAGGAGAATTTCCAGGAGACGATGGAGGCCATGCACATCATGGGGTTCTCCCATGATGAGATTGTCTGTGAGTGCTGTTTCCAGATGTGCACGCTTCCTTTTGTTTCCATTAATCCAGTCGAGTTTATTCTCCTGTGACACCTAATTCGTTTCGAGGTGAATAAGTTTAATTTTTATTCTAAATTCTACAGGCATGTTAAAGGTGGTCTCTGCAGTGCTGCAGTTTGGCAATGTTGTYTTCAAAAAAGAGAGGAACACTGATCAAGCCTCCATGCCTGAGAACACAGGTAAGTTCTCAACATGCATTAATCTAGCTGCTTCAGACCACATCCCTTTAAAGAATTCACCATAGTTCTCACATTATTCTGGTAAAGAAAACACCTGTCCCATTTGGAGTCTGAGAACAGCCAGGATTCACTGAATGTTGGTGCAGTCATTTACTGCTATTTTCAGATTGGTCCTCAGTAAATGTTAAACAAACCCTTAGGTGTAATATGATGGAGCCTAATGTTTTACATTAGGGCTATTCAACTGGTGGCCCACAAGCCACATCTGGCCTGTGGGTGAGTTCAATCCGGCCCGCCAA